AGGCTATCCATAATTTGTTATGATTCACACAATCAAGCTTTGGTAGTGTAGTGTCTAAGACGCTTGACTGCTAACCAGAAGGCTGGTGGTTCAAACCCACCAGCCACTCCTTGGAAGGAAGATAAGGCAATCTACTTCCTTAGTGATACTGTCTCGGAAACCCAAGGAGGGATCACTATGAGTCAGGTCCATCACGACGGCACATCACAACAACAACAACAACACACAGTAGAATGCATTTGCATAGTCAATAAAACACAAGAAGTTGTACAGTGACAGTGCTCTGACCAAGAGAAAATAACTGAGATGGGACAAAATCAAATTCTTGAATCCCCAAGTCTTTGGAGCTTTCCCTCATCCACACCATGGCCCAGGTGGCTAGTATCTCCAAAAGGCCTCAGACTAGGTTGTGCATTTCATCAGCCACTAAAAACCTGGAACGGAGAAGTCCCTTAGCTCAGCCAACATCCCAACCTGCTGCTCTGGGGTTGTGGCACAAGGAGGTAGATGACCTCAAGGCTGGGTTCTCCCTCCACATGTTCACTCCTGAGCATCTTCTCCATAGACTGAATGTTGTGATATGGTGTCCTTGTCCACGAGGGCTTCAGGAATTCCATGGAAGGAGATTCTCTGAGGGGAATTGCAGTAAAGAGACACCCGTGTCATCAATATATGTGACTGCTGTGAGGACATGTTGTTGAAGACCAAAGAGCACTTTTTGTGGGTAAAATACATTTAACCCCTCTCTGTTCCTGTGCATTATTGTTGGTGGGCATTTATCCAAGTCAGTACAATTGGACGGATATCACTGGCTATTTTCCATTTAATGCAAATTTATAACTTTTTACACAAAGAACAATGGAATTACCATATAGAGATTATATAATGAAATACAACCAATTCTCCTTCACGATGTAACAAAACTGAGACCAGGAAAGCATGAGCCTTCCCATAAAGTTGAACAGAGGGTAATGATCTAAGACGTCAAATGATTGGGGCACACAGACCTGAGGACTATTGTAGTTATTGTCAGTTAGCATCAAATTGCTACAATGAATGCTGACTTTGCAGATAACAGAACAAAAACTCACCAAGTCTACCGGCTTGGCAGATGATATTTCTATATATGTACTTATTTGTGCTATAACAATTTCCATACGTATAATAGAATGAGGAGGGGATAATGTTAGCATAACTTCTTCATTACAAGAAAACACCTTCAGCCCAGCTTCCAATGCCAACCCCTCAGGAAGGGATCCTGCATAGAGTGGGAGGAAAAACATGGAACAAAATTCAAAACCACAATAATGACCAGAATAACTGGTCAGATGGAATCTGGTGAGACCCCCAAGACTATGGCCCTGGGATAAATGTCAGACTTGGGATAAAACTCACATTCAAGGGCTGGCTCTCAGCCCAATAGTAGTAAGATTTACATGGAGAACACCCTTGCCCAGGAGATGAACCCACCTACTCTATGGAGACACATCTCTTCGAGCAATCAGCCAAGGGCCACCAGAGGGTCAGCATTTAAATGGAGGAAAAACTGGACAGACAGGAATGTATAACTAAGAAGTGCATGTGGGTGGCAGGGGGGTCACTTGGAAGGGACAGCAGGAGAGTGGATTAGGGTTGGGGATGGTACTTGGGGAATGAAACCAAATGTACACAAACTGTTGAATGTAAAACAAATTCTGCCCTGTAATTTTGCATCCAAAACACAATAAAAAAGAAGAAGGAGGAGGAGGAGAAGAAATGAGGAAAATACATTCAGAGAGTGAGTCACTGGGCCTGAGGGCTAGGGTTTATGGTCATGGGGACATCAAGCTCAATTGGCATGACATACTCCACAAAAACAAGGTCCTACATCCTACTGTAATGAGGAGGGACTGGGTCTAAAAAACTCCCCAGCAGCTGTATAAGATGTGACTATCGATCTCTCGTCATGTAGAACAAAGGAGAGTGAAGAAAACCAAAGACACATGGAAACAAAGATCCATGGGAACAATGGACCATTGGGATATCAGCCTAGATGACCATGAGACCAGAAGAACTAGATGGTGCCAGGCTACTACTGCCACCCACTTGGAAAGTGATGAAAATTGGAGCTCATAGGTAGAGTGGGAGGAAAAATGTGCAACAAAACTCAAAATCATAGAAAATACCAAACTGATGGTCTGATGGAGACTTGTCAGACTCTGAAATTATGGCCCCTAGTACATTTCAACCCTGGAATTGAGCTCTCTCCAGTGGTTTTACCTACATCCCAACAATAGACAGGCCTACAAAGTGAACAGTTACACCAAGGAGGGGCACTGCTTAGGACAATCAACCATGGGAGGTCAGAACGGCAGCATTTGTGCAGGGAGAAAGCACAGAGGGCAGGAATGCATGGGAAAGAAGGACACAAGAAAAGGTAGCCACAGGGAAATAGTGGGAAAAGCCGTTTTATTGTGAGCATCGCAATCAATGTCACAAAACAAATATCTATGGAGTGTTGACTGGAAAACAGATTTGCTCTGTAAACTTTCACTGAAATCACAATAGAGAGAGAGAGAGAGAGAGAGAGAGGGAGAGAGAGAGAGAGAGAGAGAGAGACGTTCTCCAGTCCTGTTTCATCTTCGCAATCATGGACACATTGGAATCCAGAGCTGTGGCTACTGTTTCGATCCATCACACCTCATTTCTGCTGACCCTCAATCCTTGTTTCTGCTGGTCCTTAACTTCATCAAAAGTATGTTCATGCATTTACGTTTTCTAGTGATTGGACTAATTTTCCTGATGAACGTGGAGGGTAAAGGACATTAAAATGATGTTCCAGCTCTAAGTCAGGCAGCAAAAAAGGCAAGAATTAGACATAATACCAAATATTGAATGTTCTTCTCAGAGAAGTGTGAGTTGTAATACGAGGGCACCAGAGTAGAAACACACACAAACGTGTATGATGCTAAATTTAGTTTGAGAAGAAAAATTTAATGAAAAAATGTTGAGATCCGAAGCCTGGAATTACCAGGATTAAAAAGTGAATTGAGTAATTGTTCTGAGATAATACTTGAAAAGTGAGAAAAATCAGGCATTTCCAAAGAAGAAACAGTAATGGTTCCTGGAGAAGACATCTGTGAGGGGCAGGAAACACCAGGGTTAAAAGGGAACCTTGGCCTTCCTCGGCACCTGCTTCTGATCTGGGACCTGTGCTCTGTGGATCCTGAGCGCCCCCTGCAGCCCAGCCCCCTTCCTGCAGGGAGGTGTGTGTCCGGGCTCACACTGACATCCCTTCACTGAGCCTCTGGTACTTATTACAGGGCCTGCTTTCAGATTTCTGGTTGCTCATTTTAAGAGAGATGGTGCTGATAGGGTTCTCCCGAGCAATTGTGGATCTTCCTTGAACTGATGGACAGTTGTACTGATTCTTTCCACTTGTTCTGCTGACACTTGCCACCCACTCCAGCCCCTTCTCTGGGGGCTGATCCAGTGAACGTATGCAGTGAAGTTAGATCAAGAGGCTTTTCTAGAGAGGCTCAGAGTTCCCCGAGGCTGAGTGATGTCTTCCCAGATTCCAGCAGCTGAACTTCACACAAGAAACCTGCACACAGAGAACACACCCTGAGAACAGTCCATGGGCAGCAGTCATGGCCAGCCTGCAGCAGGGTGACGTTACCTTTGACAGTGAAAAAAGGGAATCCCCGATCTGCACAGTCCCAGTGGTGTGAACACAGGGGAAGGACACAGACTTGGGTGACTCTCCAGGAACTTCAGGGACACGGCACCATTTCCTGTTCATGAGCAGGGAAGGACCCACACTTCCATGTCCATATCCCTGTGGACATAGATGAGCCAACCAGCAGGGTTTGTCCTCCCGGCCTCTGGATTCTGGGGAAGGCAGGTGGGAAGTGAGTCCTGTAACTTGATGCTCAGGATGTCTTCTTGTTACCCCCTCCACTTCTGAATTTGTGCACCGTCTGCATCTTTATGATATGAACCCTCAACCCCCATTAAATCCAGGAAAGACAATACAAGGAAACTGTGCCGAGGAAACAAACATTGGATCCTTCTCTGTGCACCATGTGGGGATGCACACACTGTCTTCTCCAAGACACGGTGCTCAATGAGAATGAAGGGAACTCAGTCCTGTGCATATTCGGGCTTGACTCCTATGACTTTGAACAGCCTGACCTCATGATGCCACCTTGTCCTGTAACAGTCCAGGGTCAGATCACTCCAGGGGCCCTCTGAACCACTTCCCATGCATTGTGGGAAGTGAGTGAACATGTTCCTTGTGTCTGAGAAAATATTCTAAGTGACTCCCGATGCCAAGTTGAATCTGCCCTTAATGCTACTTCACTTGTTTCGCTCCCTGCAGGGACAGGCAGTTCCTGAATAAAGACCACGTGATCCCTGGGAACAACTCACCGGAATTACATCCACAATTGGAGGGATAATTGCAGATCTGCCCTGGACTCAGGTAAGCATTTTGAGCCCAGAATAACCTGGATTCCAAAAAACTGCAATCTTATCATAAGAAGGCACCTAACAACAACATCCAGATGTCACTGAATGGAATAGGGGGACCTTCACATAGAACACAAGCTGCTGTTAACCACAGCTGGAGGGATGATGAGGTCATAGCCAAAAACATAAAGCTAAGCCCACTGCCAATGTTATAATTTATTCCCTCACAAACAGGCCTTCCCACAGCACATGAACACTTATATGCAAAGACCACACACACATTCACAGGTCTGCTTTTTAAAATAATGTTCTGTACAAGGACTCATAACTGATTCATATATTTCAAAATGTGCAATTTTTTATTTACAATTTTTATTCAACTGAAAATCTTCAATCAGTAACTGAGGCTGCAGTTTTGGAGTGATGACAAAGTTATAGCTAGTTTTCATCGATCCGATGGCAGTACCCTGGAGCACACGGTCATACTGGTCCCTCCCCCAGCACTCGCACACAGCATCCGCAAAGCATTTCTTCCCTCTAGCCAGGCTTACCATCTCTCTTTTCCTCACAAGGGATGAAGTCGAGAGGGATACACTCATGGGGCCACCAGTTGTAGTAGGTGGAACTCACAAACATCACTACATATGGACTGTGTCTTGGTCATTTGCCTCCAACCATTTGTCCCTAGTCATGGGTACTTTTTGGCACAAGTTATGTTTCAGCAGATTTTGGGGAAAAACTAAATTGTTGATTAAGGTGTGGAATTCCTATTTCATTGTCATAAAATAAGGTGATGATGGTGTATCTGTTATTGTCTCCTGGTGAAGAGAAGTTTGAAGATTTCAAGAATTGAAGGAAAAAATGCATTTCCTTTTACATCTCTTTCCTAGTTATTGATCTAGTTATTTATCTCACATGAATGATTAATAATGCATAGTTTTATTTCTAATGAGTTTTCCTGTGAAATGTCAAAACAAATCCCATACCAGGAACGAGTCCTTTGTAGTCATTATCAGGCCGAGTGAAGCTCTGCAATGAACATGTTGTAGACCATTCATTGATGTGAGGAAACGATCAAGATACAGTCCATAGAGGAATAATATGCAAGGTCACATACAGTCAGAGTAGGTTTATACATTAGTATATCTGGTGCTTATTCATGTAAAATGTGTGTCTTCATGTGTGTGAGTGTCTGTGTGTGGTGTGTGTTGGACTTGTAACAAGAGAGGATGAAACTGCTGTGGGAAAGATAATTACTGTTCAGGAAAATGAAATAAGCTAATTACAGAAATCCTTCCCTGTGTATCATAAAGACTAAAACATGGTCATGTCCTCAGAGGAAACAGAGTTCAGCTGCAGAGAGAACCAGTTTCAGGACCTGTACCTGAAGACGGATATATCCTCTGGAATGAGGGTTGAGGAATGTTCCACAACTGACCCTGTAGTGAGCTCTGTGGGAGCACTGAGGAGGTAACCATGTGTGCAGCCCGAGGGACACAGGACAGGGAGAGCGGAGAGCACCATGGATCCACTTGGACACTCAGAATAAAAGGGTCGTGTCTCTCCCAACCCTTGTCCTAATATTCACACTTTCATTAAACTCTACCCATTTACCTCCATTTGTTCATTCATAAAATCCTTCATTTTATGTTTACCAATTGCCACTTTGTTTCCAGGATCCTTTAATCCCCAATTTCTTCCTGACACACTGAGTTTCCCTACAGGAGCCTGGGGACCTCCCCTCTGGACTCAAATTATCCTTCCCAGGACAATGACGCACCCGCCTATCCATGACCTCCCACCCGGCTAATTCTGTGCCCCTCTGGGTGCCAGGTGGGTTCTGCTTTGTGCCTCGGCTTCTCCTGCAGACACCAGAGAACATCTGCTCTCACTTCACCTTTGGGCAGACTCCCATCATGAAATGCCTCCAGGTGCAGAGAAGTGCAGGTCCCAGCTGATGGAGGTACAATGAGGGCAACACAGAAGTCAAACGGAAACAGAGAGGTCACTGGAAAAATTCATCCATGAGCTCATGTGGAAGCCACAGTTTCTCAGAGCAACCATGCCCTTTCCCCCACACATGCTTCTAGAAACCCCCTGTGCTCCCGATGCTCTGAGAAACCCACCACCATTTGAAAGGCTACTCTCCATGGACAGTCACAGCCTCTGCTTCCTCAGGTTTCAGCAGAAGAACGTGGATTCTGAGCCTGAGAGTTGCTGAGCACATGGGGATGGAGTCAGCTGAAGCCATCCTCCAGCTTCTTGGAGTGTTGGCTCAGCCTGCAGATTGAATAAGTGTGGTGTAAAGTATAAACTACATTACAGGCTTGGATTAGGTGACCCTGCTGAACTAGAGACAATGAAAACAGACTTGGAGGAAACTAGACACCAGGTCGGTCCTGACTCTGACAGGCATACTCTTGTGAGGAGGGATTCCAGTGAGTGACATCCAGAAGTGACCTCACTCAGCTGTTACATGTCACTCACACTGACCTAGCCACTCTCACGCTCTGACCTGAATCCCAGAAAGGGTCCTAATTCTGGAACAGCGCTGAGAGCTCAGCCCTAAGTCTGACCTTTCAAAGGCAGATTCTTTGGCCTGTCTCTCAAGCCATCCCTGGGAAGGTTCAAACCCCAGGCTTTCAAGTAGTGACCAAGCGGGCAAAACCCAACTTTCAGACTGTTCATTTGCAGATCCAGCGTGTTCTTGGCGTTGTCTCTGGAGATGGTGAATCGGCCCTTCACGGAGTCTGCGTAGTATGTGCTACCGCTACTAGTAATATGTGAGACCCACTGCAGCCCCTTCCCTGCAGCCTGGCAGACCCAGTTCATATAAGAATTACTGATGGTGAATCCAGACACTGCACAGGAGAGTCTCAGGGACCCCCCAGGCTGTCTCAAGTCTCCTCCAGACTCCACCAGCTGCACTTCACACTGGACGCCTGTAAATACACAAAAATATAATCAGGACAACCGTCACACACGTCCACTCCTTCTCTCACTCGCACCCAGTCACGTAGACAACAACTCTTATTCTCCACGAAATGACCTTTTAAAATAGCAATGAGAAAAACCCAGGTCAGCTGAAACTTCATGGTGACTAGTGTGAGTTCAATCCTGATCACACTGAATGGGGACACCTGGGATCCCAGCGTCGGGGCTCCTCTGTCAGAGCTGCAAGTTTGGGACTGGGCTGGTTTTCGTCAGCAGAGGGAGGGGCCCTATTTGCATGTCCTCCTTCTATAGAGAAGGCTCGGGGGATGGATGAGTTTGGAGAGGACTGTGCCCCAGAGCAGACGTGAGTGTCCTGGGGGAGACGAGGGGCAGTGATAGCATATCATTGATAGCACATCACGAGTGTGGGACCACATCACAGTTGAATATGGGATCTATTGATATGCAAAAGGGGAAGAAAGAGAAGCAGGAAGAAGAAATATTGAAAGACGTAACATACACACATATACGAACCTTAGAGGTATCAGACTTAAACTCTTTCAAGACAGTAAAACAAGAGACAATCTTGAAAGGGTACAGAGGAACAATCCCTTAGCGAGGAACAAAAAATTTTCACAGCAGCTTCTTGTCAAACACACAAGACAATGGAGAGATATTTGTAACGTTCAAAAAGTAGCAAATGCAACCGATGGACTGAAGTCTCTAGTGTTTGGACCAGAAACAAATTTTTGCCTGATAAATTTACATTGAGGATTAAAATTCAATGAAAGATTGTTCAGGGCAGAAAACTGAAAAAAAAAAAATCAAAGACTAAATTGTATCTCAACTCTGAGTTAGTCCTTGCAAGAAAAACCAGAAACTTACAAAGAAGAAACAATAGTGGTTCTTGGATGAAACATTTGTCAGGGACAGGAAACACCAGGCTTAAAAGGAAACCTCGGACTTCCTCAGCACCTGCTCCTCATCTGGGACCTGTGCTCTGTGCATCCTGAGTGCCCCCTGCAGCCCAGCCCCCTTCCTGGGAGTTGTGTGTCTGGGCTCACATTGACTTCCCTTCACTGAGCCTCAGGTAGAGTCATGCAGGGGCTTGTGGTCAGGTTTCAGGCAGGTCATTTTAAGACAGAAAGGGCTGATAGGGTTGTCGCTAGAGATTGTGACTCTTCCTTAAACTGATGGAGAGTAATACGGACTCCGCTTGTTTTCCACCCTCTTGTCACCAACTCCAGGCCCTTCCCTGGAGCCTGGTGGAACTAGTGAGGACATAGTCAGTGACATTGAATCTAGAGTTTTTATTGTAGAGGCTCAGAGAAAGCTCAGAAAGAGGATGTCCTCCCCTGACTCCACCAGATGAACTTCATACAAGAAACTTGCACACAAAGAAGATGCGCTGAGAAAGACTCATGGGGAACAGTTATGGCTGACCTGATGCAGAGTACCATAGACGGTGAAGAAAAGGCTACCCCAGATCCCACCATCGCATATTCTAGTCAATCATATTAGTGAACTAAAGGGGTAAAATAAAGCCCTCGTTATTTGGATGTCACATAAGTGTGTTCATTAAAAAAAAAAAAAAAAGAGAAAGAACAGATAGAAATCAAAAGAACACATAAGGCATTTTGAGAGGTCACTGTATGTATACAAATTAAACAAAGGAAAATTGAATAACATCTCTGTACATTAGTTAGGGAAGTATATAATAAAATTAAAAGAAAAATAGCAGCACTTGTAAAAGCTTCAAATATATATATAAAGTAGGTATCAGTGTGAAACTCCAGTAAAGTTGACATTTACAATTTCAAAATATTATTTAGAAAAAAAAAATGGAAAATGCATATAAACAAATGGAGTTACGTACCATGTGTCTTGAGAAAAAATTCAGTCTCTTATACTATAACTTCTGAATTTGACCCACACACTTAATGCAATATCAACCAACTTTGCAACATACAGTTTTGGATATTATCAAAGTGGAAAAAAAAAAAAAAAAACTCCTTCAAAGTGTATTTGGAAAAATAAAGAAATAAGAATAGTTTCTACTGTTGTAGAATAAAATTAATTAGTTAATTAAATTAAAATAATAATAATAAAATCATCCTGAAACATTCCTTACCAGAATTCAGCTACAGAATTGAAGACTCTGTGCAGTGCTGCAGATACCCATGCAGTGCCTGATGTGTACACAGTCATAGACTCCAGGGATCTGGACACAGTGAACCACATTCTGTGTGCTCAAAGCAGCAACATCTAGAGAGTATGCATAACTGTCAACCCAAGACTGAGAATCCATTCACAATGAGATTGGAGCAAGAGCCCAGAATCAGCCAGTCTTGCCTTCAGTGGACTTGAGGCTGGACATAGACAGAGTGACGTCCACCTCTTATGGTCCCTGCACTCTACTGCTCTCCCCACAGCCCTCCTCTCTCTTAGTCTCTTCCATGGGCGCCCCATCCACAATCAGATCTATGCCCAGGTCGCTCATCATCCACAGCCTTGTAACATCAAGGAAAGGGTGTGTATCTCTTTGTCTCTGACTGATCAGAAGACGTTTGTGGTGTTTTGTTCCATTTCTATTGAAGGATAATTTACACACAGAAAGGTCACCTTCCGGGTTTGTACATTTTTATGAAGGTTGATTAGTTCGATGGTTTATATCAAGGTTCCTGAAACTCAGCACCATTGACATTTTGGCCAGATATCAGTTCTTTTTGGTGTTGAATTGTGGGATGTCTGGCAGCATCCCCTGACTGTACCTACTATGCAACAGAGCTCCCTTCCAACCACTGTGACAGCCAAAATCATCTCCAGAAACTGGCAATTCTCCCCTGTAGCAAATCTCTCTGGTAATATATAGACACTCACATGAACATATATAACATAACCTGGATCAACACAAGTAAAAGGTATTACATGAAGCACGTCTTGTGGCATTTGTCAGGCTGAGGCATCATGGAGACCTATCTGAGGGTGAAGGGCAGATGTGAGGCTCAATAAGAGAGTAAATTAAGTTATTTCTAAACTTGGCCTATAAGGCACTATCTTATTTTCCTAGAGCTGCTGTAACAGAAATACTGCAAGTGGTTGTCTTTAAAGAACAGATATTTATTTTCTTGGAGAACTTTATGTTGCCAGAGCACAGATACTTAGAAGGAATTCTGTCTGTCTGCTCC